ATTTTCATACTAAGTCTTTGAAATTGGGTATGTATTTGACTTAGCATCTCAATTCAGACTTGTTGCATTTCAAGTCTTAATATTCACCTGTGGCTCATGGCCACCTTATTGGATAGCTCAGAATTAGCAGAAAATTGCATTGTGGCACAAATCTCTGAAAACATAAATGGCTTTGGATTCAAGTGGGCCTGGCTCTAAAGGATATTTGTTTCTTTATCATTGGGGTGGGCAGAAAAAGCCACTGGTGGTGCCATGGTGGGGGGGAGGGTGACAAGAAAGGCGTGTTGGGGAGGTGACACTTGAGCTCAGGCTTGGAGGTAGCGTGGGGCTTCACCGAGCAGTCAGAGTGGTGAAGGATGTTTTTGGCAGAGTGTGCAGCTTGGACAGAGGCCCAGGATTTTGAAAGAGCCCAGTGCTTTTAGAGAACCAAAGGCAGTTCTTTCAGCCCAGGGTATTAGGAGTGGGGGCCCTGCTGAGAGGAGAGGTGGGCTGAGGCTGGACCTTCCACCACTGCTCCCACCATTCAAGCCACCAGCATTTCTCATCTGGCTTATTGGCTGTAGCCTTGTCACTGATCTCCCTGTGGCCACTTTGCCCCCTCTCTGCATTGTCCCTTCCCCATTTAAAAATGTAAGTTGCATCATGTCACTTCTCTGCTCAAAACCCTTCGGTGGCTTTACAGTTTACTCTTTCAAACTGCAAGTGTCAGGGACCTACGAGATCTGCCCCACTCCTCTGACCATGCCTCCTTCCACTCTCCCTCCTGCTCTCTCCTCTCTGGCTGAATTGGCCTCATTTCCCCACCCTGGGCCTCTACACTTTCTTTTCTCTCTTCCTGGAACGTGCTTCCCTCAGATACACACATGGCTCACTCTCACTTCGTGTCTCTACCATTTCATTTCCATCTCTGTGTTTCAGAGAGGCCCTTCCTGTCACCCGATACACAATAAAATGATGCCTTTCTTAAGTTTTTCCAAAATAGTCACCACTGCCTAGCATATCACGTCTTGATGTGTTCATTGTCTGCCTCTGTCCTGAGCATGTGGGCCCAGGAGACTCAGGGTTTTGTCTGTTGTGCTCACTCTTCCGTGCTTGGTGTTCCATAAATATTTGTCAAATGTGTGACTGGATGAAAAATAAATGAATAAACAAAGCCTGAAACATAGCCGACCTTCAGTAAATGTATGTTGATTTGGGAATTTTGTTGAAGTGTTTCCCTTTGCATTTGCTTATTTATTTTCCTTAACTTTATATTTGGAAAACGTCAAACATACAAAAAAGTTGAAAGTATGCTTCAATGACTCTCCATATATTGTCTGTTAGATTCAAGATTTGTTAACATCTCACCACAGTTGCTTTACATATCCTTGCATGTATGTGTGTGCATTTGTGCAAGTTAAAAGTCGGTTGTAGAAACGTGACACTTAACCCTTTGCATTTACAAGTTGACTCTGGAGAGTGGTGAATCAGAAGTGACCTCAGACAGCGGGCGGCTTGGGCCATGGCCTCCGACCTGGACTTCTCACCTCCTGAGGTGCCTGAGCCCACTTTCCTGGAGAACCTGCTGCGGTACGGACTCTTCCTGGGGGCCATCTTCCAGCTCATCTGTGTGCTGGCCATCATCGTACCCATCCCCAAGTCCCACGAGGCGGTGAGTTCTTCCCTAGGAGCCTCAGCTCCTCTGAGTGCCAGCTTGG